TCTTGACTAAGGTTACCAGAGTGAATTCACGATCTGTGAACAACCATTTCCTCTCCTTTGGTGCTAAAAGCTTATCTACCAGATGGTTCTTTGCCTCTTGTTGACTCTGTGCATCCTTTTCTGGGCTTGCTTCCCCATTCCTTGGCCACTAGGGCTTGGGCATTGGGAGCAGACAGTACCAGGATAGAACCTGAGCCTCCTGCTTCAGAGGAACAAGCAGGAACAGCAGCTGTGTGAGTAACTTGCAGGAATGCAGCCCCTTGCCTGTTCTCAGGATGACCGAATCATCCTCCTTCATTAAGACCTGGCTGGCAGGGAGTTCACAAGCTCTCTTTAACCTGGTGATCAGTCCTGGGGTTTTCTACGTCAGGACCTTGTCAGCCCCAAGTCAGAGCAGGCCACATAGTCTTTCTCCTCACACTCTTGAGGGAGTGAATGTTCTAGTGAGAGGATTGGCATAAACCTATTTATTCATTCTTTGAACTAATTTTTTAAAGCCTCTACTATGTATTAGGTGATATTGAAATACTGAGCACACAAATAAATGATATATATTGTACAGTGTTGGAACAGCAACCCAGTCCAGGAACATGTGAACAAATAATTAGAAGACAGTGTAACAACTGCATGAAAGGAAACTCATGCAAATCTTTTTCTGGGCATTGCAAGAAGATAGGTCAATGCTAGTTTTTACCATGAGGGAAAACATTAGAATATTATCAAACTGATTAATACAATGGAATCTTACTAATGTATACTTGCAATTTTACTGTACTAATTGCTATGCTTTGATATATGTTTGAAATCTTTCATAGTTTAAAAAAAGGACTTCAAAAATTGGAATAACCTGATTCAATCTGACACCTGCCTTTGCCCCTCATTATATGCTCTTGCAAGTCTTTGATTCCCCTTTATCACATTTGGTCACAACTTTGAATTTTCTAGGAACACAGTTCCAATTCCAACAGTTAAAAATGAAGGAATGTGAAGGGTAAAAACAATGAAAATAGTCATCTTCCTCAATCAGTCACAGCAGCCATGTGTAACTATGGTCTGTCCATGACAACTGTTTTCTTAATCTTGCAATATTAGTGGAATCCAGATCTTGATCTCATTGCTATTGTGAGATGTTATATAGTACTGTCAGGCAGTGTTATTATACTAAATTCTTTAAATTGATTATGCTTTGCTGAAGCATTATGTAAATGCTATTACATATGCGTACTTTGTAACACCATTTTAGAGCTTAGTGAAGCTCAGCCAAGAAAAGCTAAGTACTTTGTTTTTGGTCACACACCAGCTAGACTAGCCAAGAGTCTGTGCACAATTTCATACTGTTTTTTAAAAAAATTGGAACACTGTACATTTTAGGTTAATTATTTCTTATACTTATATGTGTATTTGAATATAAATATATAAACATATATATACATCAATTTTCTAAAGTGAAGAAACAGTTCTCTCAAACTTTTGATTAAGTAATGTAGTTTCATATAAATAAAACTTATTGAATTTTTATTCCTACTAAGATCTGTTTCAATTCTGACATATATTTATTGAACAAATATTTTATCCTTACTCAGTATACACTAAATAAAAGGATACTTATAATATATTTCATATCTTGCATGATATGTTTTCACTGTCTTCATTTTCTTAATTTTTTAACTTTTAATTGATATATAACAATTATGCATATTTATCAGGCACGATGTGATACATATACAATGTGTAAAGGTCAAACGTACAGTGGTACTTCTGCTGTAGAATGCCTCTATTTGCAAACAAAAGTGTTTGGCAAAATTTTGTTTCCATTTTCAAGCTGCATCAAGTGACAAATATGACCATGGCCATCTTCCCCACACAAACACAAAAGGTAACCGTCTTCCAAAAAACTGTAAAACAAATTAAGCTTGTAAACCAAGGCATCACTGGTATATCAACTGCCTCAAACGTTCATCATTTCATGGTGTTGGAAACATGCAAAATCCTCTTTTCTAGGTTTTTGAAATATACAGTTAATTACTGCAAACCAGTCACCTTACTGTGGTATAGAATACTGGAACTGTATCCATCCTTCTAACTGTATGTATTTTTCTGCCTGTCAACCCCTCCTTTCCTGTACTTCCTTTCTCAGGTCTAGTAACCACTGTCTGTCCTCTACTTGTATGAGATTAACATTCATTTTTTCCACATGGCCTGAAAACGTGTTACTTTGTTTCTGTGTCTGATTTACTTCACTTAACATAACGTTTTCCAGCTACACTCATGTCCCTACAAATTACAGAATTGCATTTTTATGGCTGAAAAAGTCAATTATGTATATATCCCACATTTTCTTTAGCCATTAATCCATTGATAGATACCTTGAAGGTTTTTTTCCCGTACCTTGGTAATTGTGAATAGTGCTACAGTAAGCATGGCCGTTTTTCCTTTATATACCTCATTTTACATCATAAACTTTTGGACAGATAAAGTTTAGAATGAGCTCATCAAATTCACTCACTAAAATCTTTTGTAAACTTGGTTGAAATTTTAGTCAATTTATAGATTAGTTCAGGGAAAGAAACACCTTCATAAATTTGAAGACAATACATTCCACAGTTTTCTTCCAGTATATTATTAATGCTTCTAAAGTGAGTACCTTGTTTAACCATTTTTCCTGTTGCAATTTTTTCTCACTAAAACTTTTACTTGTTTTTTTTTTGAGTATATAATAGTACAGGAATGCCACATCACTTTTCTTCAGTTATCAAAGGCTTAAATTAGCTCTTTTTAATTGATGTTTATATATGCAATCAAATTATGTGGAAACGGTGGTTTTATTATTCCTTGTATTTCTTCTATTGTCCTTTGGGCAATATCCCAAAATGTTGAGTAATAGCTTTTAAAATAATAGCTATTTTAAAATATTTTGAAACAGCCTGAATATTCTCCTTCTGCATGCTTATATAAATGCCATTAGTTTTAGATGATTAGTCCTAAAATCCTTAAAATAGAAAATCTTACCAAAAAAAAAAAAAAAAAAAAAAAAAAGGGGGGCTGGGGATTTAGCTCAGCGGCAAAAGCGCCTGCCTGGCAGGTGCAAGGTCATGAGTTCAGTTCCCGGTACCAGAGAAAAACCAAAAAAAAAAAAAAAAAAAAAAAAAAAAGAAAATCTTTTTGACCTGTATTTAAGAAATGGATATGAGGTATAGTTTAAACTTCTCTACAACCAATTTTAGAGAAAAGAAAGCTGGTCTAGTGATGATAAACTCCCTCAGATTTTACTTCTCTGAGAAAGACTTTATGCCTCTTTCACTGCTAAAGTTTAGCTTTGCTGGACACATGCTCTAGTTTTGATCTAGAATGTACCCCACAGGCTCATGTGTTCAAGCCTAGGTCTCCAGCCCACGGCAATATTTCGAGGTGATGGAACTTTTAAGAGGCGGGGCCTAGTGAAAGGAAGCTGGCTCACTGAAAGCACGTCCTCAAAGGGGACACTGGGACCCCAGCTTCTTTCTGCTCTGTGCTTCCCAGCTGTCATCCGGTGAGCAGCTTCCCTCCTGCCACGTGCACCTGCTGTGATACACTGCGCCACAGCATGATGCAGTGTGCCCAAGGCAACAGGGACCGAAACCTTGGAAACCGTGAGCCAGAAGGGTCCTTCCTTTAGGCTGACTATCTCAGAGATGTCTTCACAGTGATGGAAAGCTAAAATGATGTAGTATTCTTGGCTGGCAGGGTGTTTTAAATTGTAAATAATTCACCCATCCCCTCCCCCGAGTCTGCAGGTCTTGTGTGGAGAAGTTAATCCTATAGTGCTTCAATACATGTGACTTGACAATTACTCTGGCTGCTTTTAGGATTCTCTCTTCGTGCATTATTTTGGCAGCTGGATTTTACTGTACCTTGGAGAAGACCTTTTTAGATCTCTCTTCATGGATCTGGATAGTGATATCTCTCCTAATACTTGAGAAATTTCCAGCTATTATTTTATTTAGTATGTTTTCTTTGTCTTTTTCCAGTTTTTCCTCTTTTAACTACTATGCAAATACTTAATGTTGTCCCTTAATCTCTTTTTTTTCATGCTTTGAAGTTATGTTTTATTTCATTTCCTCTTACTGGGTTAACTCAAGAGATCAGTCTTTATGCACAGATTTTATTCTTCTGCTTGTTATAGTCTGTTATTATAGCTCAGAATTGTATTTTATTTCACTCAGAATTTCATGATTCAGAATGATGAGGGCTTAGAAAAACGAGACTGATAATTCCTTGAATCTTTTGTTTCATCATCTACTGGGAACAATAACAAACTCATATCATCAAACAGAAAATATAACAAAAGTGAACATAAAGACACTATCAGTAATGATAGGAGGGTGCCCAATATATTAAACTTGTGTTATCACTGCCAAAAGATGCTATGCAAAGAGCTAAGAGAATGTACAGCACAGATTAAAGATCACTTAAAAGGTATAATTGAGTACAGCTACCAAAGATGTAGTCATTTTTACTGATATCCATCAAGACCCTCTTCACATTGAATAAAAAAGACAGAAGACTATGGTCAATGGATGGAATCACAGACATTAATTTTCTACCCCTTGCCCAGAAGTTTCCATTAAGATTAAGTTGTAAAATGAAAAAAGACAAGGCTTCCTAAGTGTCATTGGTTTACAAAGACTCAGATGTTTAAACCTGTATCAATTTGTTTGCTTCCCAAAAGTACGTAAAGGAAATGTGCACTGTAAACGCCACTTTAATCTTACTACTGCAAATCATCCAGTGGTTGAACCAAGGATTGCTCACATGACACATTCACAGTAATTCTTTCCCATTAGTGTTATGAAAATATTCAAGAAGAGAGAGAAAAAAAGAAACAGATTTCACTTCTTATAACTGCAGAACAAAATTTGGATACTGATTAATAAAATAGTTAATGTATTCAGACTTGCTGAAAGAGTTGATTCATATTATTTGTTTTCTTGTTGCATTTCTATGAACAGAAGTAAACATTCATGGGAGAGGAGAACCAAACCTCTGTGCTAGAATTTGTCTTCCTGGGCCTCTCACAGGATCCAAAGACACAAGTTCTGCTCTTCTTCCTCTTTCTGGCCATCTACCTGCTGACCGTGCTGGGAAACCTGCTGATGGTCGTGCTCATCCACACAGACCCAAGACTCCACACACCCATGTACTTTTTCCTCAGAAATCTGTCCTTTGCTGATCTCTGTTTTTCTACCACCACAGTGCCCCAAGTGCTTGTCCACTTCCTGGTGAAGAGGAAAACCATTTCCTTTGTTGGATGCTCAGTACAGATAGTTGTTTTACTTCTGGTTGGGAGTACAGAGTGTGCGCTTCTGGCAGTGATGTCCTATGACAGGTACGTGGCTGTGTGCAAGCCACTGCACTACTCCACCATCATGACACATGGAGTATCTGTCCAGCTGGCCGTAGGGTCCTGGGCCAGTGGAGCCTTTGTGTCCCTGGTGGACACCACATTCACATTGCGTCTTCCCTACCGAGGAAACAATGTGATTAACCATTTTTTCTGTGAGCCTCCTGCCCTTTTGAAGCTGGCTTCAGCAGACACTTACAGCACAGAAATGGCCATCTTTGCGATGGGTGTGGTAATCCTCCTGGCTCCCGTCTCCCTCATCCTCATGTCCTACTGGAATATCATCTCCACTGTGGTCCACGTGCAGTCTGCAGAGAGAAGGCTCAAAGTCTTCTCCACCTGTGGTTCCCATCTCATTGTTGTTGTTCTTTTTTATGGCTCAGCAATATTTGCCTACATGAGGCCAAATTCCACAGTAATGAATGAAAGGGATAAAATGATATCTGTGTTCTACTCCACAGTGACACCCATGTTGAACCCCATCATTTACAGCCTGAGAAACAAGGATGTCAAAGCGGCTCTCAGGAGAGTAACTGCAAAACAGTCTGATGGGCAGTGGTGATTGTCTGATTATGATAACTATTTCACAAATATGGAAAGAAGCACTTTCCTGGCATTATTTTGTTTACATCACATTCTATTCCACTTTGCTTCCTTCTATTTTCCCATAGCTCTTCTCAGACAAGTCCAACAAATTGCCTATTAAAGTGCAGTTATTATTGTCATTTAAAATAAAATTTAAAGAATAAAAAGTAAAGCACCTAGTAAACACAGAAAGAATAAATAAAAAGAAAGGAATGAGAAAGGAATGGAGGAAAGGGAAGGAATGAAAGGGGCAAAGAAAAAGACAGAGAAAGGAAAGAGGAAGGGAAAAAATAAACAAGACAGTGAAAACAACCACTACTCTTCTAGTCCATACAACCTAAAAAGGAAATTTTAAAAAGTAGGAATATACTTATACACAAAAATTTAATAAAGAACTATGTAAAGAAACAAAACAAATATGAGAATGCATGCTGACAAATGGTGTCATTTTCTTATTTCTTGCAAACATTTAATAATTATTATTTGAAGTGTATATACAACCCAAGATACATTTGTAGGAAGTAAAGATATAGATATAAAATAGATTCTTCATGGTGATATATTTCTAAAATAGCATCCAATTATAAATTTAATAATTTCTGACAAAAAGATAACACATTTATGGAATAATGAATAGTGTATTTTCTAAGTGTATATGTATTAGTCAGGGAAATCTCAAAATAGAAGGGTGATAAGACGAAAGTTTTGGATTAAAAAGTGCCATAAATTAGCTACTAAAGAATATGTCCAACATTCAATTCTGAAAAAAACAAAACAGTGAAGATTGGACTGTAGTATTTAAGGTGTGATGGCTAATCTTGTTTGTCAGTTTGATTCTCTTGAAAGATGCCTTGGACATTAGTAAGTCATACTTCTCAGTGTGCCTTGGTGGGTTATGGGGGTGTGGTGTTGTGCACCATACCTGGTCTTTCCTTGGTTCCTATTTCCCAGATGACAGGAATTAAGCACGTTCTTCCACCCTAGCTTCCTACCATGATGTTTCTGCCTTGGAGTCAGCTGTTCATGTATGGAAACCCCTAAAACCATGGGCCAAAATAGACATCTCAACCTTTAAATTTAGGCTGTCAGATATTTTGTCTCACAATGGAAAATCTAACACAAATGAGAACCATGATAGAAAATGGTATAAGGCAACAAACGGAGATTTGGAAGACTGTCATATTCTTTGGAAAGACATTTATTTGTCTCTGTAATATAGAGCAGAATTTGCATGACTTGACTATCATGATTCCAGAGCTGCTTGTTTAAAATAATATTTTTCAGTACAGAGTGAGTGGGGCAGTTGACCTCAGTTATTTCCATTTAAAACAATCCCTGCTGATTCCCAATATAATGAAAAAGCACCTTGCTGTTTTCAAGCAATGGGATAATTTTTAACATAAATGAGATATGAAATTATTTGCTTACATTTAAATCTTCCATGAGATTGTCAACTTTATGGCAGTAAAGCATAAATGCTTTGCTGACCTCTACATTACCACTACAGTAAAGTACATAGCCATTGCTATTAACCCTCTGTCAATAAAGTTTAAGTTCAGGCGAGAGACATGGGCTAGCAAAATAAATTCAGATGGTACCTGAAAATAAACAAAAGTGGGGTTTGACAGAGCCAAGAATCTGTGCCGCAAATTTTAACCAAATGTCAGGAAAGCAGTCACAGAGAATACGAAAATGAATGGTTGCAATAAAACTTATTTGCAGGGGCTGGGGATTTAGCTCAGAGGCCCAGTGCCTGCCTGGTAAGTGCAAGGTCATGAATTCGATTCCCAGTACCAGAAAAAACCAAAACCAAAACCAAAACAACAACAAAAAACCTTATTTGCAGAAGCAGGAAGGTTGGATCTTGCCTCGATGCCAGACTTTACTGGCCCACCTCCTCTCCATTACCACAGTTCAACCCAGTAAATCCTTAATCTCAGTAGTGTAGATGGTAAAACATGTTTTTCACATACATAACTCTGGATGAGGGATGGGGTGACAGGTAGGTAAACTCAAACTGACAGCAGACTAGGTCTTTGTGGTTTTCAAGGGTCTCCTGCTTGTTGATATCCAGAAGATGGAGTTACAATGGTTGTTTACCGGTAGGTTTTTCTGACTGAAAAAAACAAATCGCATATGTTCACATCCCATTCATCGAAACTCAAATCATATGGCCCCATATAAATACAAAACAGAGCTAGGAACCAAGAAAGGTGTGTATCTGGAGTACAGTCTGTCACAAAACTTCACTTTTAATCATTTGGTCTATAAAATACGTGGAATTTTTTTGTCTTTTTGAGACAGGGTCTCACTATGCAGTTCAGCCTGGCCTTGAACCCACTTTGTAGACCGGGCTGGCCTCAAACTCACAGAGATCCTCCTGCCTTAGCATCCTGAGTGTAGGGATTATACGTGTGCACCCCCATGCCTAACTGTAATTTATTTTAGAAGAATATATTTTTTTGAGTTACTGTGGTAGGTTTTTCTAAGTATTTAGCCATTTCTTCTAATATCATGATCATTCCTTACTTCCCCATTAACTTGAAGTGCTGCCATGATATATATCAAACTTCATCATGAATGTTGGCAGAACTGTCAGTGATTGAACTTTTTCCTTGTGTTTTGATTACTATGGCTTTATTTTAAAATTTTATTTCAAATTTCTTGGGTTATTCATATTCTTTCTACTTTTTATCAAGTCAAATTCCACTTTTGAAAATGCCATGTGAATATTAGTGGCCATTTTGGTTGAATTTATGGGTCATTCAGGAAAAAAAAAAGCACCAGTTTTTAAAATTTTAATTATTTTAAATTAGGAACTTGGGATTTTCCTCTAGTTCTTCAGTGAATATAAACAGGCACACTCACATTCATCTTTTTTCACATTATTGTTATAGGGATTGTACCTTAGGTATCATTAGATTTTATAGAGAAGCACCTATGACACACACATAGCATAGTCTATACTTTTAAGAAGCTAACATTTTGAAGAGTGGAATCAGACAATAATGATGTAAACTAAGGCACCAAAAGGAAAGTTTTGTATGATTGTAAGTGCAATAAAGAAGATAAAGTAAGATACAGGGCACTGTCTCCTGGTCGGCTGCATGGCAATTAGAGGGTAACTTCTTTGACAAGTTCACATTTAAGGGGACATTAAATGATGAAGACAGATAAGACACGTAGATCTGACAAAAGAGCATCACAAGCTCTGAGAAGAGATAACTGGCTCTAAGGTTGGAAACATTTTGCATCCTGTGAAGGACAGCAAGGAAACTAACACAGCGAGGGTACAGTGAGCATGAGAGGGAAGAGTGTCAGATGTGGGCTGAACAATAGGTGGAACAAGATCATATACACCTGTGGGGAATAGCAATGTGCTCTGTCTTATATTTATGGAGGCCACAACACGGGGGAGGAAACATTATGCCGGGACAAGAGGCAGCTTAAAAGGTGTTGTTGAGCAGCATGGATTATGATGACTTGAGTTGAGATACAAGTGTAGAGACCAAAGCAAGTACACATATGCGTAATTTATTGTATCAATAAAGACTATAGGATTTACTTGGGTTTTTTGTCTTGTTTTGCTTTGTTTTTTATTTTAAAGATAAAAGAATGAAAACATATTAACAAACACATATACATTTAGAAAATAACACTAAAACAATTTAAGCAATACAGAATTTCAGACAAGGTGGTAGGAAATTAACAACAGTTGTATTACATATTGATATCTCCAGTTTGGATACTCAGATAAACAAATATAGACATGTAAGATTGATCAAATGCTTAAATATTAACTGTTCCTTTCAATAGAGCAATAAATGTCAGTAGTACAACTATGTTAGCTACCCTGTGTACACATATATACACATTTTCCCCTTCTTTCTTTTCTCTTTCCCCTCATCCCAGTTGTTCTTTCCTTTTGAGCAGTTTCCTTTGTTTCATAATGTGTACTGTACCTTCTAGATTTTATTCACGTTTGCAGGTTCTTACATTATCGAGACAATATGGTGTTTACACCAGTGGGTCTGATTTATTTCATTTTGTTGAAATGGTATGGCAAAGGGAAAGCAATATTTATATTTAATATTTCAGTTTCATAAGTTGTATGAGTAGTGAAGTTATTCAGATAGAAAAAAAATGAAGGCAGAATAGATTATTGAGAGATGAATCCAAATTCTATTTTTTGATCAAAAAGGGAAATAGTCAGTTAGATACACAAGTCTGTGACTTATGCAACAGTTCAGGTCTTTGGGTGTCAAGAGCCGTGCAGATGGCATTTAAACCTTGGATAGAACTACTCAAAAGAGATTACTGAGTGAGGAGAAAGACGAGTCCACGTTAGTACCATGGAGAACTGCCACATTCAGAAAGAGAAAGGGATCAAAAGAGCCTAAGAAAGTAGAGGAGAAGGGAGACAAACCAGGCATGTATTGAGTCTAGAAGCCAAGAGAACGAGTAGTTTCAGGGGAACAAAATCATCCTGTCTGTGTTGCTCAAAATTTGAAAGAGGAAGTTGTGGAAGTGATTATTCTTTTTTACTACACCAGATGGCATTAGCAAAGAAAAAAAACTATGGCATGAGAACAGAGCTTCACAGAGTGAGTTAAGATATGAACAAAAAATCAGAAAAGGGAAACTCCTCTTGTAATTGTTTTCTTTGAAGAGGAGCTGAAAATGCATGACAAGAACTGACAGGGAAGTCATGGAAAGAGTTCTCTATGGGGTTAATCACAACGTATTTTACTGTTATAGAACAGGGCAATGTTAAAAAAGGGCTTCAGAAGGAAAAGAATCCTGCAGGAACAGAAATTGGAGGTCAGTGAGATTGAGACCCAGAATACCGTGGAAGCGAGTCTTTGATGGACACTTGTAAAGAACGAAATGACGATAAGATATATAGTTCAGATGCAGGTGAGTAGGAAAGTTAAAAGGAGGGTATAGGAATTTAGGAAGTATAAGGGACAAAGTTAG